CTTAGGGCTCTTTTGGAGCCCTCCTGGATACATGATGGTGCCCTCTTGGCGGCCGCTTGGAGGCCTCTTCGGATCTCCGCGGGGCTTCTTGGGGCGACAAGTCTTGACATGTCGGTTCGTGTTCTCCCTCTGGGACCCTTCGTGGGGTCTTTTTGGGGATCTCATGCCGTCTTGGGGGCCTCTTGGGCCACTTGTGGACGATCATGAATGGGTTTGGGGTCGTCTTGGACAGTTGAAAACTACACTAGGCGAGAACGCGAACATCGTTCAACAACCTACGGGAACACTTTGATTTTGCGTGGGGGGGATGGGGGTGACGGGTGATCCTCCTGGAGCCTTCTGAGGGTGTCTTCAGGGCGTTTCGGAGCCGTTTGGGCCCATCCTGCAGCCTCTTCAGGGCCGTCGGGGAGTTCATGGAAGGTGATCCGCGCGAAATCATTATAGACCAGCGAGGTCCACTTGCGTTGAAGGACTTGATCGACCTACACGGCGAGTGGTGGTTTGATAGAGTTGATTTCGGAGACTTGCTGCCCACACGCGCGAGGCAGTTCGCAGGGGTTCGAGAGCACCAGGCCCAACGCATTGCAGCTAGAGCTGGGAGGGCTGGCGATGCCCGCTCTGCTGGGGATATTGGTCGCGCAGATTTGTGCGCGGCAAGTAGTTGACTCGGAGGACAACCGCCAGGGCGATCACAGTGCATGCGCGCATCTTTTGGCTGATCTAGGGAGCGTAGGTGTTCGGGCTTCCCACTCCGATCCCGAAGGGGGGGCTGCCAGCGCAGAGCACAGGGTGGGTGCCGTTGTCCTTGGGGTCATTCCTGAGCGCCGTCTCCGAAGCATGTTGAACTCTTCGTCTCGGCCCCTGGGCCACGTGGTGCGCCATGCTCAGTCAGCGCGGGTCGCGTCTGGGCAGGTGGGGGCGGGCGTGTTCATGATAGCTTCGCCTGAGGGTCGCAGAGGAAGGGGGCTTCCGCCAAGTTTTGACCAGCGCAAGGCTGTCTTTGCGGCATCATGGTTGCAAGGGAACCAGTCCATAAGTGATTCGTCTCCCTCTCCAACGCGGACGACGACATCCAAAGTCCGCGCATTGCGACACTTGTTTGGGGAGCTGCAGGGACATGGCCGGCCCTGTTCAGAGAGGGTGATTGACGGGCCGGCAGCCCATCGACAACGTGGTCGAATTTGGCGCCAAACAAGGGGGCTCCTTAGCGGCGTTCTATCCGGCATCCGCTTCCACGCTGTCATTCGGCGACTCTAGGAACGCGCTCTGAGGCTCCCCATGGGGTGCGCCCTATCTGTCTCTCAAGACGCTATGTGCATCTGGTCGAGCCGCGGGCTTGCTGATCCTTCAGAAGGGCCAGCTCATCTACCCTGGCGGTGATGCCGCAGCTTCGGCCGTGGAGTTAAGTCGGGCGCAAAAGGAGTAGCTGCGCAGGTTTGTGGTCTCGCGGCACGGGCGGCGTCTACTCGTGGGAGCGGGCGCAGGGGGCTCGGGAGAGGAGTTGCACGGGGGGTCTTTTTCAAGTCTTCGGGGGGGGGGGGCACGGAGCTTAAAGCATGACCTGTCTACGAGTACCCGTGGGTCTAGTAGATACGCGCTTCCTGCTGCACCGCGCTCCGCGCTAGTGCACCTACCTCCTGCGCGGACTAGGCCCGTGGAAAAAAGGCCCCCGGCAGCTCTTCGCACGTTGTCCGAAGGTCGTTTCTGTGCCCGGGTCAAATTTGGTCGCGATATCTACGCGCGCCCTGCAGTTGTGCGCCAGGGCGCGCCCGATTCAAGATGGCGAGGCCTACGTCGAGTTGCCCGTATTCTCTGGCTGTCCCAGTCTGTGGTCACATAATCGGTGTCGTTGAATAACCGCGAGATCTCGCTCGTTAAATTGCACCTACACCGTTCCTAACATAGCCACGAATAAGAATCTCCAGACCATCATCGCCCGCACCCTCAACAATTCGATGCCGCCGCCCAGCTGCCTGTGATGGTCAAACGGAAAGTGAGAAGCTTGACAGGTGAGCTTTTCGATGTCTCTGTAGAATGCAGCGCCATGCGCGCGAATGTTGAAGCTACGTGCTTGCCCGCGCATAGAATCACACGTGACTTCAATAGGTTATTAACGGGTGGAGCTCACCACGGCGTTTCAGGTGCGACCCCCGTGTTAGTTTGGATGCGGTAGGGAAGACGGCCCGCGCCGTCTCACATCCTGATGCGTTTTTTATTACACTTCCCCCTCGCGGAGATCGAGGGTCTATATGGCACAGTGCTGGGCATTTTCGTGTATGTCTTCTCTCATCCTTCTCCTCCTCCTGATCGTCCCCTCTGCCCCGGCCTCACTTCGGAGCCAGGGTTTCCGTTTCACCTGGGAGAAAAGGACGATGACGGTTTTTTGCAGGACAGCCTGCCGACCCTCCGCTCTCTATGTCAGAATTCTGGCATCGGCGCATGGGGTCATGGGTGCGGAAAAAATCTTTCCAGTGAGTACGGATACGCAGTTCAACGAGGGGTCCATCGAGATCCCCGGTCTGACAAAAGTGCAGCCCCCTTTGTGTAACATGTGCACAAGTTTTCCTATCTGGGGATGAGTGCCGAGGAGCTTTCAAGGGAAAGTTCAATGTTGGAAATAGGCCGCCTTTCATTCGTTCATCTGTTTCTTGTGCTCTTGCTTCTTGTCTCGCAATTCGGAGGAGCTTGAGGCGCAACCCCCAGTTTGCACGATAATCGCCCACTACCTTTGTAACTGTTGCATGTTCAAGACGACCGAATTTGCGCGGCGCTGAGGCGAGCACCCCGTTTTGAAGAAGAGCGCCTGATGCATACGTGTAAGACGATTGGTCGCGGCGCTGAGGTTATGCTTCCATTCTTGTAAACGGCCCCCCTTATTCCTTGAATCTGTCGCGAATCTTTAAGACGCACGTGCGCAGCGCTAGGGCGAAAGCTCCATTTTGAACACCTCCCGCCCACCATCATTGCAATCATTGCTAACGTTGCAGACGACTGTGCGTCAAAGGTGGCCCCGTGTCCGAATGAGCGGGCCGTTTCATGACGCCCAGGCGGCGATCTTGGGGACGTTTTTCTTGTGAAAGTGGTCGAGACCACTCGGGGGCTATCGTGGGGGGAGAACCGCGACGGCTGGGGCCTGGTCTTGTGACGCAGAACTCCGGGTGGCCAGTTCTTCTCCTGCGGATGGGGTCAGGGACGTGCACCCGCACCGAGCCGGCAATTCCACGAAGGGGTGTCAGAGGGATGTGCCATGAGGAGAGGCTGGCAGCGCGCCCAAAAAGGTGAGCCACTTAAAAGAAGTAGACGCCGAGTCGAAGGTGACCTGAAATGGGGAGTCCCAAGTTGTTCTTAGCGCTGGATGCGTGCTTTTCTTTCCCCACCCGTCTCCCACTTTTCGCTCTTGACTCGACCAAACCGTTCTTAAATGGACACCTTGGAATGTGGACGTCAGGCAGGCGGCAGCGTGATACTAAAGTCGTACCGAAAAACGCTTTGAAGACGTAATGGAAACGAGCAGGTTGCCCTGCTCGCTTCCTTACAGTTTCCCATCGGTTTCAGCTCTGCCTGCCCGCCTGTCTCTCACCTTTTCTGATGCGCTCGCTTGCGGAGGCTGCTGTCGTTGGGGTGTCCGGTCTCAACAAGAAAGAGCAGGCGGGTCTCGGGCCGATCCTGGACCTGATAGCGTAACGAACACGTCGCCCAAAACGGAGAAGAAGACGCCGATCCCGAGAAGGAAGCCAAACGCCCCCGAGCGTTTTTGGGATCATCTCAGGGGGTCCACGTCGACAAAAAGCCCCGAGGCGGGGGGAACTCGAAAGAGAAGAGGGCCCCGTGGAGGCTGGTCCTTCTCCTGCCCCACCTCCTGGGCATCCAGTGCCTCTTCTGCGGGCCCTTCCCCCCCCCCCATGGCTCAACCCCTTGTTTGGTCCTTCGTGGGAGCCTCAGAAGGGGGTCCCAAAATTCCTTCCGGTTTGGGGGGTATCGTCGGGACTTCGCCGGATTTGGTCGGTATTTGCACGACATCTGGACGAAGTGGTGAAGAGGTGTGGTCGAAGTCTGAACGAAACCCGGCCGAGATCACGTTTATGATAGGGCCGCAGAGGTCCATAGATTCTCCCATCAGTTCTCACCCAGTCCCCGTACCCCTTTGTATCCCCAAAACAACATGCACGACGCAGGTTGTTCGCCGTTTCCGGCCTCGGGGGCGGGGCCAGTTTCGGCCCTTGGGCCCGTCAGCATGAACGGCTTAGGACGGAAGCTTGGCCCAGGGGTAAGGGTCAGGATTTCGGGAACCCCGCACTGAAAATTCCATTCGTCGGATGTCCGGGTCCCCGGTGCCCTTGGATCCTCCCCAGGGCATCTCTCCCCCGCGGATCCTCACCTTCTGTCACCCGGATCGACCACTGGGGATCGACATGTGGTCGCCGGGCAGCACGGCTGCTGTGCTGATGTTGGGGGCGGGCCCAGGTTTGCAGCCAGGCGCCAGCTTGGGCGAGGAGGCCCAGGTTTGCTGCCAGGCGCCAGCTTGGGCGAGGTAACGCGACAGGTGATGAAACATATGAATGGTCCGCGCTGGCAGCCACAGAGGGTAGCATGCACGGTGAACTCCCTCCGTCATCTCTGTTCCTCCCTCAGTAGTTCCGCTTCCCTCCTCGTTGGACTAGGCAAACATCTGAGCATATACGAAAGAACCTTGTGCAGCCTACGGTCAGGAACGTTTGCTTAGCATGTCTCGCCGCCAGTTCTGGCCCACCATGTTTCGGCGCGACACGCTAGCCACGTCTTCATTTCCAAGTGTCAACGTCCCGAGCCCTCCCCAGTCTCCCGCCCCGAAGAGCGCAGCGACACGCTGTCCGTTTTTTGGGGCATGGCGTGTTGCCGTGGCCGCCGCCGCGACACGCAATGCAAAGGTTCCAGACCGAGCGGGGCAGAAGACCATGCCCACACCACCGTCACACCTAATCCTTCCGCAGCCTTTCTGTGCTGGGCTGCATGTGTGGGAGGCCTGATTGCATCACCTTCAACACCACCATCAGCGCACTGGAGAAGGGACGGCAGTGGGAGCAGGAGGGGCGGGCTTGCAGTGAGGCTTCCTTCCTCTTGCATGTTCTGCCCGTGCCATGCGGGGTGGCGACGCAGGAGGCGTATCAGACAGGGCCTCGCCTTCGGTGAACCGAGAAGATGACATCTTTTGTGCGGAATGCCGGCGGAAGGCGGCGGAAGACCCTCGGAAGGTGGAGGAGGCAAAAGAAGGCACTCCAAGAGATGGCAACGCGCTTTCATGTGTAATTCAAGTGTTCGGAGTTGGCCACATGTGGGGCTGCTGGAATTTCCTTTGAATGGAGCATTATTTCGACGTTCACTCGTTGACCATGAGCAGCGACTCCGTGGAACAGATCTCTTGGAACACCCAGGGTTCTAGAATGGTATTGCTTGTGGGGTGTGTCATGCTTTGGTGGGCCCTCAGGCCCACCGGGTGGTTTCGGGTGGGACCTATCGTGTGGGACCGATTAGGTTTGACCCTGCCAGATGGGATCCGATCGGGCTAAGTATGAGGTCGTACCACCCCGTCCAGGCCGGTATCGCCACCCATTCATCCTCGTCCAGTAATTTTACGTGCGCGCAATCGTGTATCAAAATTGATACAAAACCGTGGTCGTTTATGAACGAAAAACGAAAGGAAGTTCACACCCGCGCGCGTCGTCGCGCGCCCATGCCGAAATGTTTCAATCACCCCAGGTTTCGTAGGGATTTCAGAGTCGAGTGTCCCGAAATCTGTTTTCAAAACTAGCTTTGGAACGCGACGTATAAATAATGGCGGCGCTCGCACTTGCGAATTCTTTAAGAGCCACTGTTTCTTTTCAACAGCCCTGACCAATTCACCAAAACGGGCCTCCCGCGCGCGCGTGTCGAAATCATTCGATCGCCTCTGCGCGCGTGTTGGGGGCGCGCGTGTTGGGGGGGCACGACCTCTATCAAATAGTACCATGCGGGCCACTCGCGCGTGTCGGCCGCGCGCGCATGTCTAAGTGTTGCCAAGCCCTTCTTATCACCGGTTCGTGGACGCCATCATTGTCATCGGCGTGGTCAGCATCGGCGCCGCGATTGGTTTCGCCGTCGTCATCGACATCGTCGCCACCAGCATCGTTACTATCATCATCGTGTCTGCTGTTGTCGACGTCGCTATGATGCCGCGCCCGTTTGAGCCACCCTGCCCAGCCTGCGGGCCGCGCTGGGGAGTCCCCAGCGGTCAGCGCCACCGCGGCCGCGTCCGATCAGCTGGCCGTTCTGCGCGCCAGCCTGCGCGGGGTAGCGCGGCCGTAGCGACGCTCCAGCCAGCGCCAAGCAGTCATCGCAATCGTTACCTCATGGGTTTTGCAAGCCAAGTTGCGGGTGTGCGGGTGGAACGATTGCGCGAACAGCGGGGTCACAATTTCCGGTTCGGCGAGGTGGGTTGCGCCACATAGGCTGAACCATACAGCTTCGCCTGTTCTCAAAAAGTAAGATCTACTCCCCCTTCGGGTTTGTCCCCCCTTGCGTATTGCAATGTACTTGCCATTGTGCTCCACTGTCCATGTTTAATCCCCCCCATCCGTTGGAGGAAACTATGCACGCACACGTTTATCATGCAACATATTTTCCAACATGAAACGAAGTGCACACGCGCGCGTCGTCGCACGCGTACGCCACATCTTCCAAACACCATAGGTCTTGTAAGGATTTCGGAACCGAGTGTCCGAATAAGTTTTAAACGCACATTGTTTCGCAACAAGGACTTTCAAAACCTTCCAAAACCTTCATCACCGACGCGAGGACGCCGTCATCGTCGCAGGGAGGGACATAGACGAGGGAGGAGGACAACCTATGGCTTTATTACGATTTTGCAAGAGCTCGCGCGAAAGTTTGTTTTAGCAAGTCAGTGTTGCGGAACCCTGTGCTTTTGTATGTTTTTTTGGGAACTCGATTGCGAAATCTTTCCGGCACCGAAGGCTTTTGAAGGATTTCGGCATGCGCGCGCGACGACGCGCGCGTGTGCACTTCGTCCCATTGTTTGCAAGGGATTCGCGAACAAGTCTTATGTTAGAACAAAAACTGTCCCCGCGTATTGTTTTTTCACAAGGGAACCTCAGGGGGACCGATCCCGGCCCCTCCGGGATAGTGTAAATTCATATCTCGGATGGACATGTGGTCATAATCATATACGATTGACATACCCGAAAGGGGGGCGGATAACGCCGGGGGGGGGGTAGAGTTTGTTTTTTTAGAAAGGGGAATCAATGTTGAGTCATCTACGCGGTGCAATCGTTGCGAGGCGGCGACCGGGCGGCGAATTTGACGACGTAGCCGCCAGACCGACTCACAAGCCCAGGCAACGGGCGGCGACGAGCCAGCGACGGGACGACGACTGTGACGACGTAGCCGCCAAACCGACGCACAGGCCCCGTTCCCTATAACGGAATGAATAACCCAAAAGTGCGAGCCTTGTTTTGGCAAATGCATCAAAATTGTTGTGTGAATATATTGGTTTTGAATGACGTTTCAATGGGACCGACGGGGGCAGATTGCAGCCTGCTGCCGTCCATGCCCAGGCCTTCCTGGCGCTCTCAGTAGGGTTCGCCCTTGATTGGGGCTGCCCCGCAACTGGCGCCGCCCGGCACGCATGCGACCACGGCCGCATCCTTTTTCTTTATTTCTCACGCTGGCCTTGTTCCCGGCGGACGATTGTGCCCTGGAGGCCTGCATTGCTTCGCTTCTTTAGTGCCAGGCCCTTGACGACGCTCGCCGACGGTCCTGGCCCAGCCTACGGTAGGATCGCGTTGTGTCGACCCCCGCGCGGGCGTGTAATGTTGAACGCCGCCCGTGGCCCAGAATCGGCCCATCATTGAACGAGCTGGCGCTCCACCAAAGGCCGATCGTTCAAGTTTGAACGGTCCCGCGGTGTCAAGGACCACCGCCAAGGTCGACAGCACGCGAACTTGGCGGGGGTATTTCGCCTTCCGCCCAGCGGAGCTTCCCACCCCCGGTGGGTACTTTGCCGCTTTTTATCCGTAAGGGCTTCGCCCCCTGCCGCCGGCCCCCTCTCTCGGAGAATGGGCCATGGAAGAGCTAAGTCATGAGGCCTTGGCGCTGTCGTGAAGCAGTATCGAAACTTCATGCGAAGCCGATTCGCAATCAGCAAAACCAACTGATCACAAGAGGGGTTACCACACCTGGCGATTGGTAAGACGTGTATGGTTTACGGGCTTGGTTACCACACCTTGCGATTAAAGGGCCGAGGGAGTTCTCGCAGTTTGGGTTACCACGCCTTGCGATGGATGTGCGTGAAGGGTGGCACCGAATTTCAGAAATGTGGCAAATCCCCTGTGTTTTTGGACCCTGACCCCGCGGATCTGCGTGAGGGGTGGCACCGAATTTCAGAAATGTGGCAAATCCCGTGTGTTTTTGGACCCTGACCCCGCGGATCTGCGTGAGGGGTGGCACCGAATTTCAGAAATGTGGCAAATCCCTTGTGTTTTTGGACCCTGACCCCGCGGATCTGCGTGAGGGGTGGCACCGAATTTCAGAAATGTGGCAAATCCCATGTGTTTTTGGACCCTGACCCCGCGGATCTGCGTGAGGGGTGGCACCGAATTTCAGAAATGTGGCAAATCCTTGTGTTTTTGGACCCTGACCCCGCGGATCTGCGTGAGGGGTGGCACCGAATTTCAGAAATGTGGCAAATCCCATGTGTTTTTGGACCCTGACCCCGCGGATCTGCGTGAGGGGTGGCACCGAATTTCAGAAATGTGGCAAATCCCTTGTGTTTTTGGACCCTGACCCCGCGGATCTGCGTGAGGGGTGGCACCGAATTTCAGAAATGTGGCAAATCCCATGTGTTTTTGGACCCTGACCCCGCGGATCTGCGTGAGGGGTGGCACCGAATTTCAGAAATGTGGCAAATCCCATGTGTTTTTGGACCCTGACCCCGCGGATCTGCGTGAGGGGTGTCGATTTCGAGCCCCCCCAGCAATTCAGACAACGCGCCCAGGGGGTGCTAAAAATCTGGTTTGGGCCTCCCCCCCCCTCGCGCGGTCAATCAACTAGTTACAGTAACCAGCAATAAGCAGAACTGTAACACTGGAAACTACAAGCTACAACTGGTACAGGAAACTGCGAATCCCGCTCCTCGCAGCCTGGTGGCCCCACAAGGGGGCCGGCGGATGGGGCAGTTTGCGTCGGCCGGTCACCTTCCAGTGCGCCAGTTTTCGGTGCTTCAGGCCGCCTGAGCGCTCCTCGTGGCGAAGAGACTCTACGCTTGAGGCCTCCTGCCCCCGTTTCCCCTCCCTCCGCGGGCGCCCCCTTCATTTCTACTTGCCCATTATGCCTCTGCCCAGCGCGGCCCGCCTGGTGGCCGATCGCGTTGGGGCCCGCCAGGAGAAAAACATTTTGCTTTGCAATAGATTCGTGGGAAGATGCGGCCCAAACAACAAGGGAGGAAACATCACCTCGACCGCGAGAATTGGCGTTTACTAAACGGCCTTGGGCGTTCACTAAACAGCCCTTTCTCGTTCGATTCCTTCCGTGGATGCGTTTATTAATCGGCTTCGCTCGTCGGGTGTTCATTCTGAGGGTAGACGTTTAGCCCCCGACAGGGCCCCAAAAAGCTCGTAGTCGAGATTCGGCAGCAACACAGAAAACAACACCGAGAGGAATCAGTGGGGGCCGTTTGTATGTATGTCTGGCGCACATTATCACAATGCAGATGCGCGTGTTTGTATCCAAGCACAGAAGCATGTGCACACATGGGTACGATGCTAAGACTAATAATTGTGCAGTCGCTGTTCGCGCTGAAAGAAATGCGTTGCAAGCGTGGGCCACGCTTTGTACGGGTAACTGTCATTATGGAAGATATGTGGTGTAAGATGTGCGGTGCATTCTGTGGTGTGCAAGCTAGATGACACAAGGCACTGTATGTGGTGCAAACTATGTGGGTTAGTCGTGCCGTTTATGTGGTGACAGCTACGTCGATCCAATCACCATTGTGACCTCCTGGACCATCTGAGCCTCATGATCTTTATCGGACCTATGGGGGCCATGGGCCCCATGAGACACATAGTCCCCCTGAGCACCGAATGCCCATCGAACCATGTAAGGTAAGTTGGTTATTGGGGCCCTTTGAAACACATGGATATGAACACTGCAGGCCCGGTACATGAATTTCACGAGGATTAGGGGCCCCATGGGCTTTATGAGTTCTCTGGGCCGCATGGGCCCTGCGAGCCTGACGGGCCCACTCAGCATGATAGTCAAGATTCAGAGCTCCCCGAAGCATTCTGGAACTGCCAAGACGGCCCCCAGAGAGCCCCACGTTGACCCAAGAGGGCCTCCAGGGAAACCCAACGCGGAGACGGCGACGGCGGGGAGGCCGAGAACCACGGTAAACCCAAGAGGCATCAACAATATTGCAACAAACCCTCCCTCCAAGTTCCCTCTTCATAGGCCCCTGCTGTGATCCACTTTCACTGAGGGAAGTGCCTCGTTGGAGGGCAACCGCTTGAACATCTTGCATGTTGCCAGAACGCAGTTCCTGGGACTTCAACGCCGCGAAGAGGACGAGGAGGAGGGCGGGGACGTGGCTCCGATGTCGGTGGCGCCCTGCCGCTGGCCGGGCGGGCGCTGACCGCGCGGGCGGCCGGGCCCTCGCGGAGGGAGGCGGGCGGCGGGCGGGGCAGGCGCTGCACCTCCTCCGCGAGCTCGGCCCGCTCGGCGTCAGGCGGGCCCACCCCGCCCAGCCCCGCCCTGGCGCGCTCCCCCGAGGCGAGGCAGGTCGGGGGAAGGATCGGGGCGAATAGCCCGGGGGGGGAGGAGGTGTCAGCACATGCATCGCATCCAGGGGCGTCGACGGTCCATGTCTTCGGCGAGGCTCTCCGGCGAGCGCGTGCAATGCCCGGCCCCGGGCTATTAGTACCTGTCGCCGCCTCCGAGCAGTGTGCCCGGGGGGGGCCAGTACGGGAGCAATGGGTGCAAAATTCAACAGCCGTCGTTGTTCATTCTGAACAGGATTCGCTGTCGGCTTCGCCGCGGTCATTGTCCATCTGGCACGAGAGCTCGCCTGCCCAACAGCGGCCGCTGTCGGTTTTGGGAAACATTAGTTGTTGGACATCGTACCCCTTCCTTGAATACACAATTAGGGCGTCCGAAGTGGGTGGGAGGACTGGGACCCGGGAAGGGAGGGCGATGATGAGGAGAAGGATCACCAGCGCGAGACCAAGGTGCAGCAACGATGCTGCAATAGACCCTCCCGTCCCAGGCCCCATTCTCTTAAGTCCCTGCGAGCTCTCCATGTCACTACAGGATGCGCCCCCCAGAAAAATCATCACCCTCTTGGCCTGCCATTTGGGCGAGAACCCCGTTTTGAAAAGGACATGCTTTGAACCTTCACAGCGAACGCTGGGGAATGCGAAATGGCATGACCATACAGCTCAACGAGGTGTCCAGCGGGCTTCCCGTTTTGAAAAAGGACTCTTGGTGATGAAGTTCAAGGAAGTCTACAGCGGTAGCCACAGTTTGAAACAGATCCGCAATCTATCCGTGTAGGTACTCCATGTGTTCGACGTCCTGGCCCGTAACACTGAGTAAGCCTCACACGAGATCCCCACTTTGAAACGGAACCGCCCTCCGTCCTAGTAATTCCCCACATGCATAGTGGGGTTCTGGTTTTCTTTCCCTGCCGCGTCGCACCCGCGTTTCTCCTCTTCCTCCTCACCCCTCCTTCCCTCTTCCCTCCACGCATCCAGGGGCTGGTGTGCTGATTCCCTCTCTCTTTTTCTGGTTCCCCACATCAACACAAGCAGACACATGAGCACACAGCAGACACACATCCACAGTCGACATCACAGTCATCACATACATCCACCATACACGCAGCACACAGACACACAGCACACAAACAGCACCCGTACACAATACCAGCACAAACAGACACAGCACGCACACGCAGCAAACAGGCAAACAGCACACAGACGTGCAGGGGGTGGTCTCTCACCGCGGTTCTCTATCCGTCTCAGGGTCGCGGGGCGTGGCAGGCGTGGCACTTTCTCGACGCCAGAGAGGGTGCGCAGGGGGTGGTCTCTCACTGGTCTCTCTATCCGTCTCAGGGTCGCGGGGCGTGGCAGGCGTGGCACTTTCTCGACACCAGAGAGGGTGCGCAGGGGGTGGTCTCTCATTGGTCTCTCTATCCGTCTCAGGGTCGCGGGGCGTGGCAGGCGTGGCACTTTCTCGACACCAGAGAGGGTGCGCAGGGGGTGGTCTCTCACTGGTCTCTCTATCCGTCTCAGGGTCGCGGGGCGTGGCAGGCGTGGCACTTTCTCGACACCAGAGAGGGTGCGCAGGGGGTGGTCTCTCACTGGTCTCTCTATCCGTCTCAGGGTCGCGGGGCGTGGCAGGCGTGGCACTTTCTCGACACCAGAGAGGGTGCGCAGGGGGTGGTCTCTCACTGGTCTCTCTATCCGTCTCAGGGTCGCGGGGCGTGGCAGGCGTGGCACTTTCTCGACACCAGAGAGGGTGCGCAGGGGGTGGTCTCTCACCGCGGTTCTCTATCCGTCTCAGGGTCGCGGGGCGTGGCAGGCGTGGCACTTTCTCGACACCAGAGAGGGTGCGCAGGGGGTGGTCTCTCACTGGTCTCTCTATCCGTCTCAGGGCCGCGGGGCGTGGCAGGCGTGGCACTGTCTCGACACCAGAGAGGGTGCTCAGGGGGTGTTCTCTCACTGGTCTCTCGCATTGCAGGCGTGGCATTTTCTCGACACACCAGAGGGGGTGCGCAGGGGGTGGTCTCCCTATGCGTGCCAGGGTCGTCCAGGCATAACAGGCGTGGCATTTTCTCGACACCAGAGGGGGTGCGCAGGGGGTGGTCTCCCTATGCGTGCCAGGGTCGTCCAGGCATAGCAGGCGTGGCATTTTCTCGACACCAGAGGGGGTGCGCAGGGGGTGGTCTCCCTATGCGCGCCAGGGTCGTCCAGGCATAGCAGGCGTGGCATTTTCTCGACACCAGAGGGGGTGCGCAGGGGGTGGTCTCCCCTATGCGCGCCAGGGTCGTCCAGGCATAGCAGGCGTGGCATTTTCTCGACACCAGAGGGGGTGCGCAGGGGGTGGTCTCCCTATGCGCGCCAGGGTCGTCCAGGCATAGCAGGCGTGGCATTTTCTCGACACCAGAGGGGGTGCGCAGGGGGTGGTCTCCCTATGCGCGCCAGGGTCGTCCAGGCATAGCAGGCGTGGCATTTTCTCGACACCAGAGGGGGTGCGCAGGGGGTGGTCTCCCTATGCGCGCCAGGGTCGTCCAGGCATAGCAGGCGTGGCATTTTCTCGACACCAGAGGGGGTGCGCAGGGGGTGGTCTCCCTATGCGTGCCAGGGTCGTCCAGGCATAGCAGGCGTGGCAGTTTCTCGACACCAGAGGGGCGCAGGGGGTGGTCGCAGGGTCGTCCAGGCATAGGTGGCATTTTCTCCACCAGAGGGGGTGCGCAGGGGGTGGTCTCCCTATGCGTGCCAGGGTCGTCCAGGCATAGCAGGCGTGGCATTTTCTCGACACCAGAGGGGGTGCGCAGGGGGTGGTCTCCCTATGCGTGCCAGGGTCGTCCAGGCATAGCAGGCGTGGCATTTTCTCGACACCAGAGGGGGTGCGCAGGGGGTGGTCTCCCTATGCGTGCCAGGGTCGTCCAGGCATTGCAGGCGTGGCATTTTCTCGACACCAGAGGGGGTGCGCAGGGGGTGGTCGCAGAGTTTCTCGACACCAGAGGGGGTGCGCAGGGGGTGGTCTCACTATGAGTGCCAGGGTCGTCCAAGCATTGCAGGCGTGGCATTTTCTCGACACCAGAGGGGGTGCGCAGGGGGTGGTCTCCCTATGCGTGCCAGGGTCGTCCAGGCATAGCAGGCGTGGCAGTTTCTCGACACCAGAGGGGGTGCGCAGGGGGTGGTCTCCCTATGCGTGCCAGGGTCGTCCAGGCATAGCAGGCGTGGCATTTTCTCGACACCAGAGGGGGTGCGCAGGGGGTGGTCTCCCTATGCGTGCCAGGGTCGTCCAGGCATAGCCTCTAGTGCGGGATTGCGTAGTACCTCTCGTATCCAAGTGCCAGGCGACGCCGGATATGACCGTCACAGATGACTCCTCAACCCCTCCTCTCCCCCCACACGTCCTCCCCCTCCTTTCAACGACCACAGGGGGCACCTGAGAGCGTGACGGCGGTGGTAGTGGTAGCGCGGTTCACACAAAACATAAAATCAGTATGTGGGGTTTCTCGGTAGCGTAATTGGTGCAAGTTTTTTAAACGAGTGCGCGCGGCGCTAAGGCGACAGCCTCATTTTGAACATGGTGTGTACTCGATCCTCGTAACAGCTGCAAGCATTCAAGACGAATGTGCGCGGCGCTAAGGCGAGAGCCCTGTTTGAAAACGATGTGTGCTCCACCCTGGTAGTTTTGCAACTTTTTGGAAGCCAAGGTGCGCGGTGCTAAGGCGACAGCTCCATTGTGAAACCGTTGTGTGCTCCAGACTTCTACCTGCTGTGAATGCCAAGTTTCAGGATCCTAAGTGGTGCGGAAATCTTACGCGAAATGTCCAGCCCGCCCGACACGCCTGGGGATGCGACCAGGACGAGCTATCTCCAAGCAGAAGGACGGGGAAGGAGAAGGACAAGGAATGGACAATGAGGAGAATGAGGTGGCCCGAGGAGGAAACGCGACAGAGAAGCGAATGGGCATGAGGGGGGGAAGGGACATCGCAAATCCGGAGAGACCAACAAGCATGAAGCTCTCCCGCAGGAGTGCGGGTCGGAGGGGGACATGGGGGGGGGAAAGGGAACAACATGGGGAGGGGGGCAGGGGAATGGGGGAGCGGAGCTGGTCTGCCGTGCACGGGGCATGGGAAGCCCCTTCTGCTGCGGGCGGCTACGTCGAGCGCGGCCGACGGCAGCTGTCGCTGCGGCGGCCCGGGCCCATCCCGACCTCGGTGTTGGCGCTGTTCCCATCTCGGCTGCACGTGGCGCCGTCTATCTCCTTCGCGTCACAAGGGCGCTGCAAAGGAGCGGCGGTTATGGCCAGCACGGGGTCACATGAGCCCCGTTGCGCCATGGGGCCAACACGGGGTCACACCAGCCCCTGCTGGGCTCCCGAAGACTCCCCCCGAGGGTCACACAGCATGCCCGCCAACACGGGTGTGTGACCGCCGCAGGTTGGCAACGCCACCAATGGACGGGGCCTCGTATGAGTGAGCTTTCGCCAGGGTGACCTTTGGTGCGGGCCCAATGAGGCCGCCCGATCACTGAACGCGAAGCGTTGCGCGCCCGGGTTTGGCCACCCCGCGCCCCCGTTGCGCCGCGCATAAGAGGTCACCTCTGCCCAGGGTCACTCCCGCGTGTAGTCTGTCCCCGTTCGAGGGCGTGGCGGATGTCTGAGCGCAGCTGCTAGTTGCACGGAGAGGAACATGAAGGCGGCGGTCGAGGATGCCGTTGTGGAAGTCGCCGAGGCCTCCAGGCCAAGAGTTTAGGGTCCAGCTGCGGTGACTGCGGCCCAGTACGACTCGAAGACGGCGTCGACGAAGCAGTCCGCCATGCGGATGGCGCCGTCGTTCTGGATGATACCGAGCATGACCCACAGTTCGATCCTACGGATGGCCTTCAGGAGGGCTGCAATCCGTGGAGGAGAGGCGCAGATCCAGGCCGATTCCGACGTGGCGTTCGACGTCGACGGAGAAGCACATGTTGCCGATGCCCGCCCTCGCGGGTGGGCCCTCCGCCTCCTCGGGCAGCTCGGCGTCGTTGGAAGCGACAGGGGGGCCATTCAGCGAGGACGCCCGGCGCGCTGCCGTCGGCGGCGGCGTCGCCCTGGGAGGTGCAGAAGGTGTAGAGGGTGCCATTGCTGGCATGGCCGTTGTAGGTCGTTGTACTGGCAGGTGTCGGCGTCGAAGGCGTCGGTGTTATGGCTGTCGGAGGCGTGGCCGCTGCCGCGGAAAGAGCCGCTGCGGCGATCGAAGGCGTGGTCGCCGAAGTCGCCCATGGAGGCGTAGCTGCTGTAGCGACCGGCGTGGTCCCCGATGTGACCCGTGAAGGTGCTGCAGTGGCAGGCGGGGGCGAAATTGGGGATGGGACTGGGGGCGTCGAGGCCGGTGTGGTCACTGTTTCCTTGCAGGGCTATGGCTGGCGGCGTGTCGAAAAATGTGACGAGGCCAGGCGTGAAGAGGTTAGCCTCTGGGTTGACTGGAAATCCAATTGGATTGGCGTCCTGGACGAAGCTCTGGCTGGAGCACGGGGCCTTGTCAGGCAGAAGCGGGACCTGGACGAAAGTGTAGGACGTCTTGCTGCAGGTGTTGGGGTTGTGGTTGGCCTCATTGTAGTATCTGGACGATCCTCAGGCTTCACGAGCGAGAAGGGCAATATTTCAGCGCCTCGACTGATGCGTCCTCTGCGCGCGGCGAAGCCCAGCTGGCGCCACGCGCCACGACAGGGTCTCAATAGGCATGGTCGCCCACCAGTGTTGCTCTCGTAGCCGATGTCCTTCTGATCGTTCTGGCGACAGGCTCGGCCTGGGCGGGCAGTGTGGCCAGGGAGGCCCGGCCGCTCCCGCCCGGCCCGGGCGGCGGCCTTGCGGCGTGGGTCGCCGGCAGGGCATGGCGCCGCGCTGGGCGCCCCCCCCCTTGCCCGCATAGGAGAGGCAGTGCCCTGAGCCGAAGTGTCGAAGGACTCTCCTCCCACACCTCCTCCTCGTTCTCCTCCACCTCGTCCCCGTGCTTATCCACTTCCGTCTCCTTCCTCTCCTCCCTCCCTCCCTCCCTCCCTCGCTCCCTCGCTGCTCCTCCTCCTCCTCCCAGTGCTCTTCCACCTCCATCCTTTGTCCTTCTAGATCGGAGGTTCGGGGGTGAGTCCGACGTGAAACGGAGACCCCCCCTACCGGGAAATCGATTTCGGTTTCGGGTCCGTGTCGTGCGTGTCGTGCGTGCATGCGGGCGAGGCGAAGCTGCGTGGGCGGGCGAGAGGAAATCCTCCTGTGGCTGGGCCGCGGCCGGACCAAATGTTACTCATCCGGCGGCCGGTGCCCCGCGGTGTCCCGCCGGTGTCCCGTAGTGTCCCGTGGTGTCCCGTTGAGTGAGATCGATCGTGAGATCGATAGTGAGATCGATACTGAGATCGATGTGGTGCCCCGAGGTGTCCCGTGGTGTCCCATTGAGTGAGATCGATAGTGAGATCGATAGTGAGATCGACAGGTGTCCCGTGGTGTCCCGTGTTGTCCCGTTGGTTGAGATCGACAGTGAGATCGATATTGAGATCGATGTGGTGCCCCGAGGTGTCCCGTGGTGTCCCGTGGTGTCCTGTGGTTTCCCGTTGAGTGAGATCGATAGTGAGATCGACAGTGAAGTGAGACCGATAGTGAGATCGAGAGGTGTCCCGCGGTGTCCCGTGACGGTGGTGTCCCGTGGTGGCCCGTGGTGTCCCGTGGTGTCCCGTTGAGTGAGATCGATAGTAAGATCGATCGTGAGATCGACAATTGTCCCTTGGTGTCCCGTGGTGTCCCGTGGTGTCCCGCTGGGTGAGATCGATCGTGAGATCGATTGCGTCAGATGTTGGTTTCCCCTCCCCGCGCCCCCCCCCCCCCCACAACAGATCGATGTGTTGCCCCGAGGTGTCCCGTGGTGTCCCGCTGAGAGAGATCGATAGCGAGATCGATAGTGAGATCGGCAGGTGTCCCGTGATGTCCCGTGGTGTCCCGTTGAGTGAAATCGATAGTGAGATCGATAGTGAGATCGATGTGGTGTCTCGTGGTGTCCTATGGTGTTCCGCTGGGTGAGATCGATAGTGAGATCGATAGTGAGACCGATCGTGCGATCGAGAGGTGTCCCGCGGTGTCTCGTGGTGTCCCGTGGTGGCAAGTGGTGTCCCGTGGTGTCCCGTCGAGTGCGATCGATATTGAGTCGGGGGAGCGTAAGACCCGGGTTTGCCAGGACTCGGGTTCGCCATCGTTTTTTGACGACCGCGCCTCGGATTTTGACGAGGAGGAGTTTCGTGGGATGTCTGCAGCGGGAGGCCTCGTCAAAATGCAGGCTCGGCCTCGTCATTTTTTGGCCGACCTCGTCGGGGATTTCCGAGTCCCCTGTACCCAGGTCTTACGCCCCCCTGATTGAGATCGATAGTGAGATCGACAAATGTCCCGTGGTGTCCCGTGGTGTCCCGTTGAGTGAGATCGATAGTGAGATCGATTGAGTCAGATGTTGGTTCCCCCCCTCTCTCTCCCCGCCACAACAGATCGATGTGGTGCCCCGAGGTGTCCCGAGGTGTCCCGTGGTGTCCCGCTGAGTGAGATCGATAGTGAGATCGATGTGCCCCTTGGTGTCCTGTGGTGTCCCGTTGAGTGAGATCGATAGTGAGATCGATAGTGAGACCAATAGTGAGATCGATGTGGTGTCCCGAGGTGTCCCATGGTGTCCTATGGTGTTCCGCTGGGTGAAGTCGATAGTGAAATCGATAGTGAGATCGATAGTGAGATCGAGAGGTGTCCCGCGGTGTCCCGTGGTGGCCCGTGGTGGCCCTTGGTGTCCTGTGTTGTCCCGTTGGGTGAGATCGACAGTGAGATCGATAGTGAGATCGAGAGGTGTCCCGCGGTGTCCCGTGGTGTCCCGTGGTGGCCCCTCGAGTGAGATCGATAGTGGGATCGATTGTGTCAGATGTTGGTTCCCCCCCTCTCCCTCCCCCCCACAACCTCTTTATCACCCGAAGGGTGGTCGTATAGGTACCTTACAGTTCGCCCCTCTCTGTCGTTCCCCCGACGTGTCCGTAGTTTTGGCCTCGCCTGTCGCCGCATCGCCTGAGACTCCCTCACCACTTACAAGGATGGAGCACATGTAGTTTTTTTTCAGAATGGGTATTCGCTTCAGCTCCGCGTGCATGAACTTTTCAAAGATATGGCGTGTCGTGCCCACGTGCTGGCCTCTCCGTGCTGAGATCTTAGAATCCACTTGCGTGCCGTGCCGTGCTCGGATGCCGTGCCGTGCCGACTCTAGGTTCTAGAATGCTAGAAATTGATGTTGGTGTGCAGTATCCCGCCGTGCCTGCGTGTCATGCTGGGCAGCACCTGGCATATATTAGACAGTGCGAACAATCTACAGCACCGTGCCCGCGTGCCGTGTCGTGCACTGCCTGTGCTCTGGACTGCGAGAAAGGTGCCGTGCCCGCATGCCGCGCCGTGCCATGCCAGAAGTCTAGGATGCGACAGATTTGCCGTGCCGTGCCTGCTCACCTTGCAGTGCCGTGCTCGGTTTCTTGTGGCACTCACCACCCGACCAAATTTATGTTGGCTCACCATGTGTGGCTGTGTCGTCGGCGACATATGCAACGGCTAAAAAGTTGGACGACGGTTCCTTTACAACAAAGTGGTATATCTTGAGATTTCTGGCAGGTCAATGACCGAGGACTTCAACATCTGTAGCAGCTGCACGGGTGTGGGGCGGTTTCTTTTCGAAATGTGTTATCGTTGGAGATCGCCTCGATGCTCATAGCCAGAGAGTAGATTCGTACACCGGCTACACGGATGGGGGGCGCGGCCATTTTTCCAAAGGGGGATCTCGCTAGACACTCTGTTGAGCTGCGGGGTCATCCAACCTCGCAGTCCTGGTCACACGCGGGAGGGATGCAGAAGCTCATCTTCAAACCCGGGGCTCTCGCTTGAATGGCAGGCCCACGGGGTGCTGTCTGTCCAAGGGGCGCTCCTTGTCGTGAACAGGAAGGCTTATGGGGACTCGTGAGAAGGAGACTTGGGACGGGAGCGTGTTCTGCAGCATCGCGGATGCATCGTGGGGTTACATACTCTTGTCCGTCTCGTCCCCATCGTCCTTCTCGCCCCTCGCTCTTACTCCTCCCCCCTTCCCCCTCCTCCTCCTCCTCCTCCTCCTCCTCCTCCTCCTCCTCCCCCTCCCCCTCCTCCTCCTCCTCCTCCTCTCCTCGTCCTCCTCTCTCCTCTCCCGCACCCCGCGGAGGCTCGACGCCGTCACCTGCGCCGCCTCCGTGAGCGCGTGCCGCGCTGGCGGGGCCAGGGGGGGGGGCCGCGGCATCCGACGCCCTGGGCCGGCTGCGCCGCAAGAGCCGCCGTGAAGGAAGAGAATGCTGCAATAGTTGAGTGTGGTGTGCACGAAATGTTTGTCTGGAGTATTTCAGGCTGAGACAGAGTGGTTTTTTTATGCATCGGCTTTGTGTCATGAGAATATGGTTTTTGTTGCGAGAACATCCTGTCGCTCTTGGAAAGAAAGTGTCGTGGAGGAATGCCGGGACGGTCGGTTCTTGCTCGACCCCCATCGTATGCCACCGACTTTGGCCACATAATGTTGTCTGTGTCCAGTCGAAAGAGCACAACATCTTGGATTGGGGTCGTCATCATCACCCCGTCAGAAGAATAATAATAATAAGAAGAAGCGCTGACATACACATGTAGTCAAGATGCTGAAGTGAAGGCCGCTTTGGGCTCGGGGGGGGCTCGGGGGGGGCCCGGGTGTTCGGACCACACCTAATATCTATGCCGTGGAACCTGTGTTTGTGGCCTAGGCCCGCCGTGGCCAGAAAAGCCCATGCGTTACTGATCACGATGATTGTAGGCTCTTCGGAGGTCTGTTCGGATTTCTTGCATCGGCGCTTGATGGTGGCCTGTCATTCGCCGCCCTTGGCGCGCTCCGCGCGCCAGGGAAGGGCCTCCAGCGCTGATCCACCAAGTCCGCGCGGATCCGCGACAAGTTATGTTTAGAGTGTTCTTATCAGAGTGAGGGGCCGAACGTTCATTCATTGTCCGTGGGTGCGCGGCTGAATAAGGAATTCGTGGTGAGAATTATGCTTGTCTGCTTGTTGCGTTGTTGTCGTCGTCGTCGTTGTTGTTGTGGTTGTGGTTGTGGTTGTGGTTGTGGTTGTGGTTGTGGTTGTGGTTGTTGTTGTTGTTGTTGTTGTTGTTGTTGTTGTTGTTGTTGTTGTTGTTGTTGTTGAACATTATTACTTCTAAAGAATAATTATTGTTGGGGCCCCTGGTGCACGACCCCCCCGCCGCGCCTAGGCCGCAGCCTCATTTTCATCATTTTCGTGAGGAAGTCTCAGGCAAAACGGGGGTCCGGATCCGGTTGTGTTGTTACGATCGGTTTTCCCTTGCAAAAAATGAGCTAAAGTGGACATTTCTTGTTCTAACATAACCAAACTTCAAGAATCCCTTGCAAAAAATAAGGTAAAGTGGACATTCGCGCGCGCAAGACGAAATCCTTCCAAAACCTGAGTTTTCGTAGCGATTTTAACATAAAAACATAAACAAAAAAAAAAAACAATGGTTTTTCAAAAAAAATTGTCAACATTTCATCCCGCGCGCTCTTGCGGATTCGTAGGAAACCCAACACTTTTTAATCATTTCTGTCAAACGGGCTTTTGCGAGCAACTTTTTCGAACTTCTGCAACAACGGTTGCGCACCTGCCAGGGCCATCATCCCTGTCAAATAATACCATGCGGGACACATTCGTTTTTTCTTCGCGCGCGCACGCCGTCGTCGTCGGCCGCGGGGCCCTGAATAGTAGCCACGGTCGTCCGCATGCCACGAAGTGAAGTGTCCGAACGTCATAGGGCGGGAAGCTGGGTGTGGGTGGTGGCGAAGAGTCGTTTGGAAATTTGGTAGAGCTTGAACCGGCCCCCCCACAAAGTGGGGGTATTGCCCGCCTCCTATGAAAACCCTGGCACTGGTGAGAACGGAGTGTCCCCACGTGCTAGTAATTGTTGTTGTTGTTGTTGTTGAACATTATTAATTCTAAAGAATAATTATTGTTGGGCCCCCTGGTGCACGGCCCCCCTGCGCCGCCTAGGCCGCAGCTACATTTTCATCATTTTCGTGAGGAAGCCTCAGGTAATACGATGTCATCAAGATCCGGTTGTTTTGTTGTAATCCGTTTTCCCTTGCAAAAAACACTATAAAATGACATTTCTTGTTCTAATATAATCAAATTTCAAGAATCCCTTGCAAAAAATAAGGTAAAGTGGACATTCGCGCGCGCAAGACGAAATCCTTCCAAAAGCTTAGTGTTCGGAGCGATTTTAACATAAAAACATCAAAAAACCAATGGTTTTTCAACAAAAAAATGTCAAAATCTCATCCCGCGCGCTCTTGCGGATTCGTAGGAAACCCAACACTTTTTAAACATTTCTGTCAAACGGGCTTTTGCGAGCAACTTTTTCGAACTTCTGCGACAACGGTTGCGCACCTGCCAGGGCCATCATCCCTGTCAAATAATACCATGCGGGACACATTCGTTTTTTCTTCGCGCGCGCACGCCGTCGTCGTCGGCCGCGGGGCCGTCTCTCTCTCTCCCGCTCTCTTCCTCTGTCTCGCCTTCTCTCTCTCAGTGTCTGTACCATGTCTAGCACTGGTAACAAAGGTATTTGTGTATCCCCACATCCGCCCAGGAATTCCACAAATGTGACCAACTATCTTGCGAGTACGTATCATCTCATGTGTGTCGTGCACACTATCAAATGTAACAGAGTTGTGTATTCCCATCATCCCAGGAACTTGACCCAAAAATGTGACCAACTCCGCTCTCTCTGTCTCTCTCTCTGTCTGCTCTCTGTCTCTCTCTCTGTCTCTCTGTATTATGTATTGTATGGCACAATTGCACCATGCTGGGCACATGCGCGCCCCGAATAAGTGACCAAGTTCTGTGGGTGTGTACCCCACGCCAGTGTAGTAGCCACGGTCGTCCGCACGCCACGAAGTGAAGTGTCCCAACGTCATAGGGCGGGAAGCTGGGTTTGGGTGGTCGCGAAGAGTCGTTTGGATATTTGGTAGAGCTTGTAATGCCCCCCCACGAAGTGGGGGTATTGCCTGGTGTCGTATGAAAACCCTGGCACTGGGGAGAACACCACGCGTTCGGGTAAAATGATTGTTGTTGTTGTTGTTGAACATTATTAATTCTAAAGAATAATTATTGTTGGGACCCCTGGTGCACGGCCCCCCTGCGCCGCCTAGGCCGCAGCTACATTTTCATCATTTTCGTGAGGAAGCCTCAGGTAATACGATGTCATCAAGATCCGGTTGTTTTGTTGTAATCCGTTTTCCCTTGCAAAAAACACTATAAAATGACATTTCTTGTTCTAATATAATCAAATTTCAAGAATCCCTTGCAAAAAATAAGGTAAAGTGGACATTCGCGCGCGCAAGACGAAATCCTTCCAAAAGCTTAGTGTTCGGAGCGATTTTAACATAAAAACATCAAAAAACCAATGGTTTTTCAACAAAAAAATGTCAAAATCTCATCCCGCGCGCTCTTGCGGATTCGTAGGAAACCCAACACTTTTTAAACATTTCTGTCAAACGGGCTTTTGCGAGCAACTTTTTCGAACTTCTGCGACAACGGTTGCGCACCTGCCAGGGCCATCATCCCTGTCAAATAATACCATGCGGGACACATTCGTTTTTTCTTCGCGCGCGCACGCCGAAATCTCCAAAAACCATTGGGTTCTTAAGAATTTTAGCACCGCGCATCATAAAATCACACGAATCGCACCGTAGGTCCTCGAAAAACACCTGCACGACTTTTCTGTGGGTGTACGAACGTAGGCTTAACAACTTCTGTGGGTGTGTACTCCACGCCAGTGTAGTAGCCACGGTCGTCCGCAGGCCACGAAGTGAAGTGTCCGAACGTCATAGGGCGGGAAGCTGGGTGTGGGTGGTGGCGAAGAGTCGTGTGGATATTTGGTAGAGCTTGCACTGCCCCCCCACAAAGTGGGGGTATTGGCTGGCGTCGCATGAAAACCCTGGCACTGGTGAGAACACTGAGCGTTCGGGTAAAGTGATTGTTGTTGTTGTTTTTGTTGTTGTTGTTCTTGGTGGTGGTTGTTGTCGTCCCACCCGCGACCCACCGGGGACCCACCCCGCGACCCAACCCGCGACCCACCCCGCGACCCAACCCGCGACCCACCCGCGACCCACCGCGCGACCCACCGCGCGACCCACCCTGCGACCCGCCCGCGACCCACCCGCGACCCACCGCGCGACCCACCCGCGACCCACCCCGCGCGACCCATCCGCGACCCATCCGCGACCCACCCGCGACCCACCCCGCGACCCACCCGCGACCCACCCCACGACCCACCCTCAAGGGAGGAAAAACCACCCGGACCCGAAAATTGACGTTTACTAAACGGCCCTGGGTGTTGACTAAACAGTTTTGTTCTGTTTGATTTATTCCTTGTGTGCGTTTACTAAACGGCTTTGCTTGTTGAGGTGATTATTCTGGGGTGGATTTTCTGCCCTCTACACCCGCGACCCAACAGCGACCCACCCGCGACCAATTTGCGACCCACCCGCGACCCACCCGCGACCTACCCACCTTAGTTTAACGAACAAATCGGAGCTGCGGTGGGCTCGTTGTATAATTCGTGAAACTTTGGCGCCTGCGGCGGGCTTCTCCAGAGTCTCCCAAACTGCCGACGTCCCCACCGCCCCCTCACTCTTATCCGCGTCTGCGGGGTGCTACGTATTTTTGTTAGGGCCATGTTTTTTTCCCCCCGCTTCGGCCTCCAGGGCCCTCATGGCCCTGCACTGCCCAAGAATTGATCAGGAGTCCAGAACACGTGTCCCTCAGGACCCGTTCCCTTCGTGCCAAGAGAGCGACCTTATCGCCAGGATGGCCTCTGGTGCGGGCTAGCGCGGGGTACCCCCCCTCTTCTTCGACTTCGGCCTCGGGGTGTTCGTTTGGAGGGCCCCAGGACCATCAAGCCGTGTTCTGGGAGTCAAACTTCGGCGGCGAGCCCGGGGGGGAAGGGGAGAAGGGGCGGGACCTTCCCAGAAGGCTCGGAAGTCCCACCGCCTTCTGAGCAGTCTTTACGCCTCCCCAGGAGACACAACAAGCTCTGCGAAGGCTCGATGCCTTCCGAGAAGGCCTTCTCCTTCTCACATTTCCCCCCCCGCTCGCCGCCGCAAAACGTGCCCCCGGGGGAAAGGGGCGGGGACCCCCGATCGCTGAAATCGATGCGACAGCAGCGGTTTGCGCGCTTGGGTTTCTCCC